TTTTATGATTCTATGAGGGCTGTTTTGTGGGGTTGGGGGGGTTTGTAGATGAACTGGGACAAAAAGGTGTCAAGGAAACAGAAATAGTATAGCTTCGAAGTTTATCATGAGTGAGAGGGAAGGGGAGGTGATGGTAGGAGATTTTCATCAGTGTGCTAAGCAAGAATCAAAAACTCAGACATCTGTGAGTGGGTTTCAGCACTTCAGCAAGGGACAGTGCCCAGCCACTTATAGCTGAAGTATATTTCAGTGACATTATGGGAGTATAGAGGTATTTAAGGAGGAAGTGGAGTACACTTCACCTGTAATAGTTATAAAATGGTCACCGTTGTGGAACATTGTAGAAATTTCAATGGCTTCCCCTCAGTATCATTCTTTTTGACCTTCCAGAACTTGCATTGGAATCTATTCCCTTCCTCTAATTTCTTCTCTATCTGTTTCACTGGATCCCTTTTCTTGTTTTCCACCCTTTCAATTGGATGTTTCCAAAGGTTCAAAAAAGTAGGGTTGTGTTGCCATGATTTATAAGAACCATCTTTGAAGTAGGCATACCTATGTAACTAGAAAGTGATTGGAATAATGGTGTGCATCTCTGCCTTCTTACTGTACATTTAAGTTGTCACAACTATATTAAGAGACTCCATTTTATCTGAGAATTATTCTTTTACTATCAGGCAAATTTTTGATGACAAGACCTTTCTGAGATACTTTAGGACTGTGTGCTTCATATTTAGAATCTATCTGATATTCTTCCTTCAAATCAATTGTTTTAAGAATACTGGACATTATAGTTATCTTCAGGTAATGGAATTTCAAATTTCAGGAACTTGAAGGAGATACAATTCTAAGACATAGGTACTAGAAGAAAGAAATATAAATTTGTAGACATGTCATTTCTACTTTCTTATGCGGACATTTTCTTTGATAAAAGGGAAAATATATTTTGCGCAAATTTCAGAGAAAATGACTTGAAAAAACACTTTTCTGAGACAGATGATAAATAACTTGTCCTTATATAGCCTGTTGTTTGCTGTTCTTCTGTTTTTCACTATATTAAAATGACAGAGACAGAGGATAGAGTGACAGCCTTGTAGTGAGAACAAAGTGAATAATGCCATCTTCCGCACAAACTAATATTGTAACATTGCACAAATCACTCAACTTCTCAGTGCCCAAAGGAAACTAAGATGCAAAGTTATATAAATTGCTGATTTCCATGGGTAGGAAGAATTTCTATAATAGGAATTCTTCATATGAATGAAAGCTAATCTACATTGGTGGAAGAAGAATGAGACCTGCAATAGGAGTCAAGAATTCTATTGCACCACTTACTAGCTGCATGGCTTTCAGCAAAGTGATCAAGGAAAAGCTCTTTTGACTTCATTTTATTTAATTATAAATATTAAAGCTCAACCTCTGTGTTATCTAGGGCTCCTTCCAGATTTTACAATCTATGAATCTATAAACAATACTAAAGCAGCCTTGTCTCTTTTTTTTTAAAAGTAGAATTACTAAACTATAGGCCAGATGAATGAAATAGATGAGTATATCTTAATTCTAGGAAGGCATTTGACAGTCTTTTATAAGATCCTTGAGGATCTTGTGAAGATAAATGTTGCCTCAGCAATATTTCTGGCAAGTAGCTTAATTGTTGAACAGCTGTACCCAAATTATATTAATTAATGAAAGAATATTAACTTAAAAGCATACTATCATGACAGTCAATAGATCTCTGTCTTTGGTCATGTCCATATTAGAAACATTTTTACCAACACTTTTAGATAAAGGAATACTTAATAAATGTTTATGTTATGTAAATCTTTTTTTATATAAACCATTTCCATATTGATCATTTTCTGCAAGAAGACTTGAATAAAAGAAAAAAATGAAAGAAAGTGAAAATAGCTTCTGCCTGTATGTATTCAAATAATAACGGTTCTTTCTATGGAGGCAGATAATATGCTTCATAATTAGTCCTTTGGGATTTTCTGGGATCATTGTATTGATAAGAAGAGCTAAGTTCTTCATCAAACAATATTGCTGTTATTGTGTACAACTTTCTTCTGGTTCTGTTCACTTCACTTATCATCAGTTCATGTTAGTATTTCCAGGTTTCTCTGAAATCATTCTGTTTGTCGCTTCTTATGCCACAGTAAAATTCCATTACAATTATATGCCACAGTTTGTTTAGCCATTCCCCAATTGATGGCTATCCCTTCAATTTCCAATTCTTACCCACTACAAAAAAAAGCTGCTATAATTGTTTTGTACAAATAGGTCCTTTCCCCCCCTTTCTTGATGTATTTGGGATATAGATCCAGCAATGATATTGCTGGATCAAAGGAAGTACACAGTTTTATAGCCTTTTGAGTATAGCTCCAAATTGCTCTCCAGAATGGTTGGACCAGTTCACAACTCCACCAACATTGCATTAGTGTCCCAGTTTTCCCACATTTTCTCCAACATTGGTCATTTTCATTTTTTATAATGTTAGTCAATCTGATAGGTGTGAGATGGTGTCTCAGAGTTATTTTGATTTTGCATTTCTCTAACTAATAGTGATTCATAGTATTTTTTTGTTCATATGACCATAGATAGCTTTGATTTCTTTGACAACTCTCTGTTCATATACTTTGATCATTTATCAATTGGGGAATGACTTCTATTTTTATAAATTAGACTCAGTTCTCTATATATTTGAAAATGAGACCTTTGTCAGAGATACTTGTAGCAAAACAAAACAAAAATTCCCGGTTTTCTGCTTTCCTTATAATTTTGGTTGCATTGGTTTTGTTTGTGCAACAGCTTTTTAATTTAATATAATCAAATTATCTGTTTTACATTTTGTAATGTTCTCTATCTCTTATTTGGTCATAAATTATTCCTTTATCCATAAATCTGACAGATAATATGTTACATAAATCTTGAATAGCTATAATATTGAATTATATAGTCCACGGGTAGGAAATCTTCAGCTTCCAGTCCACACATGACCCTCTAGGGCTTCACATTCTGTGAAATTTGGATTCAATCAAAGGGCCACACTCAATGACCTAGAGAGCCACATGTTGCCTGGAGGGCACAGATTCTCCACCCCTGACTTAGGCAATGCGATGGTTTAGTGGATAAAATGCTGGGCTTAAAGTCAGGAAAAGGAATTCAAATCCTGGTGCAGATACTTCCTACCTGTGTGGTGCTGGACAAGTAAATTAGCCTCTCTCACCCTCAGCTTCCTTATATATGAAGTGAGGTTGTTGGACTTTTTGCCTCAAATTTCTCTTCAAGCCCCAAATCTATGATCCTACAAGTTTCACATTAAGTAAGGTAACAGTAATAGAGCAGCCAGTTTTCCTGGATTTGTCTGTTTATCTAGGTCCATATAAATTATATCTCAAGATATTGAAAGAACCAGCAGATGCGAGTGGTAAGCTACTGTTAATTATCTTTAAAAGATCAGAAAGACTGGGAGAGATGATATAAGATTAGAGATAGAAATTTTCTTTATTTTCAAAAATAGAATGGAGTACAGTCTATAAACTATGTACCAGTGAATTCTTCATAACTCTCTACAAAATTCTACGAATGTATTATTAGAATAATGATTAGGGAACACCTGGAAATGGAATCAATTATCACTTCCCAGTGATGTCTTCACTGAGAAAAGGCCATGCTGTTTCAGCTTCATTTCCTTTTTTGAGAGATTTATTAGATTGCTGTATCAAGAAAATTCTGCATATATAGTTTATATAGACCTCAACAAAGCATATGGCAGCCTTATGCTATTCATGTTTACAATATGGAGAAATATGTGCTAGACAAATAATATAATTTGGTGGATCAAGACAGGTTAGAATATTGGGCCAACTCTACTAAGAAGAAATACAGTGTAGTTAATCATACAATTATTAATCTTGGGGTATAAACTCAAGATAAGCCAAAAGAGTGATGTGAAAGACAAAAATAGTGAATTTAGTTTGCATTAAGAGATGCCCGATGTCTAATTAAGGAGGTAATAATCCCGCTTTTTTGTTCATACAAGATCCAGTCAATGTGTTCAGTTCTGGATGAAACATTTGAGGAAAGACGCTGATAAAACTGAAATTTCCAGGGATGGTGAATGAAGATGTTAAAGTCTCTCAAGATCATGCTATCGGAGGATCAGTTGTAGGAACTAGAATAATTTTACTTAAAGAGAAAACATATGGAAGTCATGATAGCTAGCTTCAAATACTTTAAGGAATTTCAAATAGAAGAGATATAAAACTTGTTTCATTTGGGCCCAGAATACCAAAGAATATGTAAAAATTGAAAAGAGACTTATTTAAAGCTTATACCAAGGAGGGGAAAACTTCTTTTGGTCCATCTAACAGTGAAATGGGTTGCCTTGTCAGATAATTCTACAATCAAAGACCTCACTGGAAGCAGTCAATCAAGGAATGAAGTATTTCTTAGTTATGTGTTAAGCTAGACAATTTCCTAAGTTCCTTCCACCTCTGAGATTCAGTGATTCTCTGTTTCTGGGTGAAAAAGCCCAATAAAATAAAAATTAACAAGAGTAAATGCTAAGAAGTTCTTCAATGTGGTTAAAAATCTTAGCAGGGAATACTGAAAAAACCTACTCTGCTATAATTTCTAAAGTCTTAAGTGTTCTAATTGCCAACTTTCGCAATATGACTCAATTGTAATAACCCAGCTGCTACAAACACTAATTTAATATTATTTCAACTTTTTCATATTAAAATAATCCCTATATAAACCTTACTTTATATACTTTTCTCAGCTTTTTCCTCGTTTCTTCCTACAATACTTCAGGAATATGGAATAAGAGAGAGATATCAATTCTCTGAGCACTATAGCCAGGGGGTGTGTCCACATGCCTTTTATGAAAGATTTGGAACATAATAATTTTCCTAATCAGCAAAAAATGATTATTGCTTTCCATTTTAATTTACTGCCTTAATTGTAGTCACCTCAATGATGCTTTTATCTTTTTTCTCTAGGACCACCTTCAGCTCCAAGGAATGTGATTTTTAACATTAATGAAACAGCTCTTATTTTGGAGTGGAGTCCACCAAGTGACACAGGAGGAAGGAAGGACCTCACATATAATGTTATCTGTAAAAAATGTGGATTAGATGCAAATCAGTGTGAGGTCTGTGGAGGAGGAATCCACTTCATTCCGGGACATACTGGTCTTACCAATTCTTCTGTGACTGTGGTTGACTTTGTGTCTCATGTGAATTACACCTTTGAAATAGAAGCCATGAATGGTGTTTCTGAGTTGAGTTTTTCTCCAAAGCCATTCACAGCTATCACAGTGATGACAGATCAAGATGGTGAGTGCTATTATTATTCTACTCTATTTAAAATATGCTAATAGGTCATTCTTTGTATATAGGATCATATTCAGATTGAAACTGGTTTCTGGACACTTAAATGGATTATGAAATACTAAGACTACAAGTGGGTTGTGACAAATTTTATATTATTGAACTAAAAATTTTGAATGGTAAAATACAATCAATTGCCACTACAGTTTTAAGACTTTGGGGAGGTGTTCATATACCTCTTTCATCTATTCGTTACATACATACATTCTCTTATGAGAAAATTTTAACATTATGTTCAATTAAGTGACTATAGATTGGTTGAATGTTTGCCTTCTTTGAATATGTGACAAATATACTGATTATAGTTCTAGTAAATATGAATTATTGATATAAACTATTCATCAAGTGTGTAGAGATGTATTCTTAATGTTAATTCTTATTGCTGCTATTTACTGATGGTTAAGGATCTTTGTATGCCATTTGTGCTATATGTATTAGAACTCTTATTTATACTTCCCTTTCATATCTACATTAACTGTTAATAAGTTTTATTTAAAGCTATCCCCAATAACTTGAATAAATGTGTTATATCTTTACTGTGAATCTACATTTAGTGGTGGGGAAACAGACTCTGATATTTAAAAGATCTGAAAGGTTTGAGTTTTTTCTGTGCACGGCATTATCTAAGTGGAATTGCAATATGTTGTCAGACTTACTTTGACTTATTTGATATTGTGTGTTTGCTTTATATCAATATTGAATTTTAATGCAACTTCATCCTGCATTGGTATTCCTATGGTGCTGTAATTTAAGGCAGCCTGATAGGACAAACAAATGTATCTAGGCTGCTGCAATATCCCAGATCGTGCTTATATTCCAACAAATAAGTGCTGGGATAATACTTTTTAAAATCTGGTTTTCAGAATTTCAGGAATTTATGTTTCTATGTGATTGTTTTCTAAAAAGTACCATAATAAGTAAAATAAATTTGTATAAGACAAAACAATAAAATCATTTTGTACACAGGCAATGTGTGATGATATTTAAGACAGAAGCAAATGCCATAAAATATAATGTATTAACAATGTTAAGAGTAATAATCATATCAATAAGAAATAGCCTAATGAATTTCTCTTTGATGGAGATTAATTATTATTTAATAGCATCCTTTTAATTTTTTAGATTAAAAAACTAGTTTTAAAACATAAAAGTATTGTGAAATTGACTTTAGAAGTATGTAAGAATTGCTGTCTCCAATCTATATAGCGTAGCAAGTATGCCAGCTTTTATGAGTCCAATAGGGTCTGAGGATTAAGAAAAAACTCCTTACACAAAAAAATCTCTCCCCAAGTCTAATGTCCTTATGTTTGTAATTCCACCTATAGCTCCATCTCCAAGAATTTCCCATCCTTTTTGATTCTCAGATTGGAATTATTGTGATTTAGCAAGACACATAGGAGGCTATTAATAAATTCTTGTTGATGGCTCAGTAGAGAGACAAGAAACTGGTGTTAAGACTTATGTTGAATGTTAAGGAAAGTGAAAAGGAAGATAGTATGATACCAAATACAACTTTTGCAAAACACAGTAGTAAACGATTTACTAGTCTACTATGTGATAAACGCAAAGACCCCAGCTTCTGGGATAACAACTCAGTATTTGACAAAAACTGCTGGGAAAAGTGGAAAAGAGTATGGCAGAAAATAGGCATATACAATCTCACACCATATACCAAAATAAAGTCAAAATGGGTTGATAATTTAGATATAAAGGCTGATACTATAAGTAAACTGGGAGAACAAGGAATAGTTTAGCTATCAGATCTATGGAGATCAGAATTCATGACCAAACAGGAGATAGACAACACTACAAAATGCAAAATGGATAACTTTGATTACATTAAATTGAAAAGTTTTTGCACAAACAAAGCCAATGCAACTAAGATTAGAAGGAAGGTAGAAAATTGGGAAAGAATTTTTACAACCAGTGCTTCTCATAAGGGCCTCATTTCTAAAATATATAGAGAATTAAGTCAAATTTGTAAGAATACAAGCCATTCCCCAATTGGTAAATGGTCAAAGGATATGAACAGACAGTTCTCAGATGAAGAAATTAAGGCCATCTATAGTCATATGAAAAAATGCTCTAAACCATTATTGACTAGAGAAATGCAAATCAAAACAACTCTGAGGTACCACATCACACCTATCAAATTGGCCCACCTGACAAAACAGGAAAATGATAAATGTTGGAGAAGATATGGGAAAATTGGAACACTAACACATTGTTGGTGGAGTTGTGAAATGATTCAACCATTTTGGAGAACAATTTGGAACTATTCCCAAAGGGCTATAAAAAGATGCATACCCTTTGACCCAGCAATAGCACTTCTAGGGCTATATTCCAAAGAGATCATACAAATGGGGAAAGCACCCACATATACAAAAAATATTCATAGCACCTGTTTTTGTGGTGGCAAAGAATTGAAAATTGAGAGGATGCCCATCAATTGGGAAATGGCTGAGCAGGTTGTGATATATGAATGTAATGGAATACTATAGTGCTAAAAGAAATGATGAACAGGCTGACTTCAGAAAAACCCGGGAAGACTTGTAGTGTCTGATGCTGAGTGAAATGAGCAGAACCAAGAGAATGTTGTTCACAAGGACAGCCACCTTGTGTGATGACTAATACTAATAAACTTAACCCTTCCCAGCAATACAAGGATCTAAGACAGCTCCAGAGTCCTTGTAATGGAAAATGTTATCCACATTAAAAGAAAGAACTATGGAAGTTGAATTGCTATTTTTTTCTCTTTTGTTGAGTTTTGTTTCCTCTTTCTGATGCTTCCTCCTATTGCTTTAAATTTGTATTTACATCACTAATGTGAAAATATGCTTAACAGGAGTGTAAATGTATAGCCTGTATCAGATCGTGCGCCGTCTTGGGGATGGTGGTGGGGAGGCAGTAGAAGAAAAATTTTAAACTCAAAAGCATATGGAAGTGATTTTTGATAAATCAAAATAAATTAATAAAATTTTAAAAAACTAATTTGAATGCTTTACTATTTGGTGGAGAGAGAGAGAGAGAGAGAGAGAGAGAGAGAGATTTGTTTACCATTGATATTACTTCACTGCTTACACCGTTTAGTGAAATGTAGTTTCCATGTTTATGTGTTTTAATTAGATATCATTTTACTTTTGTTTTTCTGAGATCATGATTGCTATTCATTTCTTTTTTACTTCAGTACAAGCATAATAGATTCTGCCACAGCCATGTATTTTAACTCTGTATGTGCCTCTCTGTATCAAGTGTGTTACTTGTAAAGAACATGTTGTAAGATTCTGGGTTTTAATCTATTCTGATATCTGCTTCTGTTTTATGGGGGAGTTCACTCCATTCACATTCACAATTATGATTATTAACAACGTATTTCCTTAAATTCTTCTTTCTTGCTCTGCCTATCTGTCTCTGTCTCTCTCTTCCCCTTTCTCCTTTTTTCCCCCTCTATCTCTTTCATTCTGTTCTTCCTCAAAAGTTTTTTGCTTTTGACCACAGCCTACCCCAATCCACCCTCATTTCTCTCAGATTCTTCTTTCTTTTTTTCCTACTACCCCGGAGGGTGATATAGGTTTTTAAATCTAATTGATAGTGTTTGTTATTCCTTATCTCCGCCAATTCTGAGAGAAAGGTTTGAGAACTGCCTACCACTCCTCTACTGTAAAAGCTCTCTTAAACCTATTTTATTGGAGAACATTTACCTCATTCTGCCTCCCACTTCCCCTTTCTCCCAATCCATCTATTTTTTTACCCCTTAATTACATTTTTGGGTATCATTTAATCATATTCAACTCACATCCATGCCTTCTGTCTACATATACTCATTTTAATTGTGCTAATATTAAAATTCTTAACAGTTACAAGTATCATTTTCCCATTAGGAATATAAACCATTTAAGTTTATTAAATCTGTTATGAGTTTCCTGTCCAGTTTACCTTTATATGCTTCTCTGAAATCTTATATTTGAAAGGCAAATTTTCTACTCAGCTCTGATCTTTTTATCAGGAATGCTTGAAAGTCCTCAATTTCATTGAATGTCAATTTTTCTTCTGGATTATAATCTGATTATAATCTGAGATTATAAATAGAGCACACTCAATTTTGCTGATTAGGTGATTCTTATTTTATTCTTATTTCTAGCTCCTTTGCCCTCCACAATATTACACTCAAAGCCTTCCAATCCTTTAATGTAAAAACTGTTCAATCTCATGCCTGGCTGTGGCTACATGATATTTCCATTACTTTTTTCTGGCTGCTTGCAATATTTTCTCCTTGACCTAGGAGCTCTGCCATTTGGTTACAATATTCCTGGGGGTTTTCATTTTGGGATCTCTTTCAGGAGCTGATTGGTGGATTCTTTAAATTTCTATTTTGCCCTCTGCTTCTAGGGTATCAGGGTAGTTTTACTTGATAATTTCTAATATTCTGTCTAGGCTTTTGATCAAGGCTTTCAGGTAGTCCAATAATTCTTAAATTATCTCTCCTCTATTTTTTTTTCATTTCAGTTGTTTTTCTAATGAGGTATTCACACTCTCTTCTTTTTTTCATTCTTCTGATTCTGTTTTATTGTTTCTTAATGTCTCATACAGTCAATAGTCTCCACTTACCCAATTCTAATTTTTAAGCAAACTTTTTCTTTAGTGAGCTTTTGTTCTTCTTTTACCATTTGGCCAATTTTTAAAAGTTTTCCTTTGGTTGATTTTTGTGCCTCTTTTTCCATGTGGCCTAGTCTGTTATTTAAAGTGTAATTTTCTTCAGCATTTTTGTGCCTCCTTTACTGAGCTGCTGACTAGTTTTCTTGTATCACTCATTTGTTTTCCCAACTTTTTCTTTTCCTCTCTCATTTGATTTTAAAATCCATTTTGAGTGTTTCCAGACCAATTCACATTTGCTGTTTTCATTTTGTTGTCTTCTGAGTCTGTATTTTGATCTTTCCTGTCACCAT